CGGGGAACGAATCTTTAGATTCGGTACTCGGTAAAAAAAATAATTTGTACACAACACATTATTTGCACAATTAATACTAGTAAAAGAAAAGGACTAAAAACAACAGTAAATGAATTTGCCAAGAGAAAACTATTCGGGACAAAGATGTTAATGTTGAAACAAGAAAAGAACACAAACCCCATTGTGTCATCAAATATGCGGTCCTTACGAACTTCAATGACGTGGATGTTGTCTGATTCCCACAAGCTGATGGGGATTTTGAATTCCACACGCCATTTTGGAGCTAAGGTTTTCTTTTGAGTCCTTGTCCAAAATCTTTAAAGTCCTAATTGACCCTTCACGTATGGATCAACCAATCCTGAAAAACACCACATGTTTTAACTAACATCAACCAAATTTGAAGGCACGATTAGCTTGTCGAAGTGAAAAGAAAACTAACCGTTCAAGTCTGATGGCTTCTTCTCAATAGCTTCAAGAACCTTTACAATAGCATGCGCAATAGGATCCTTTGCATCGACTGAGAACCAATTTTCTAACATTCAAGAAAATTTTGTGAAGTTAAAAACAAATAGTTACATCCCGCTTCATAGAGAGAAATCCGAAGGACTTAACTTCTGTTATTTCTTGCAGACATCCCTAGAAAATTTCAAACCCTTCTATCGACCAATTCAGAATGGTTTAAAAGGAGTAAAAATATGTAAAAGCAAATCAACAATTATTCAGAAATTAAAAAATTGAATTGCAAACAGATACAATAGAGAGTGAACAAATGATAATATAGCAACATCAAAAGAAAAAAAGGAAAGAAAAAGGAAAAAAAAAATCTTACCAAGCTTTGTCCCAACAAGAATTATAGGAACACCCGGAGCATAATGCCTTAATTCTGGAATCCACTGCACAAGACCGAAAAAATCAGACATGTACATTAGCAAAAATGGAATGCAAAAATGGATGTCAAACAAGATATTCTCAATTTGTGGGACCATTTAGCCATCTAGAAAGCTCTAACCTTCTTTGCAATTTTTCCGTAGCTAGCCTGGGCCGTTTGCATAAGTTGGATAAAGTTCATCCGACCATTCATGGACCACAGATGCGAATTAATAATGAGATCACCTTCATTAGCATCTTCATCATTTCAAGTATATGAAATAAGTATATAATATCAGCTTCAATGGTGTATATTTCCTACCGTAAAAAGTCTAATGCATGAACATTGCAAGAACATATAGTCATATTCATATAGGTATACTAAAAAACATCTTCGCATTTACTACCGAGCCAACTTTTGTCGGAGTTAAATTCATTGAATGCATGATAAGGAAGTTGTATTTTCTTGTTGTAATTTTTTTTTTCTTCCTTATATTTTCTTGCTGTAATTTTTTTTTCTTGTTAAATCTTAAGGTTTCGCAATTATCTCAATGAAATAAATCAAAAACTCGAAGGAAAGAGCAAGTCTAGAATAGTACCTCTTTTGTGACTGCCCATTTACCACGGCGTAAAGCCTTATGATTGTAGTTCATATTACCGATAAACAAGCTCTTCTTATCTTCTTTTTACTTAATTTCTTTAATAATCGCGTCTACTATAATAAATGTGTCGTCATCCGCTTTCATAATGTAATTCCCTGATACTGTCCGAATCTGGAATATGTACAAACAATAGAAGTTCAAGTAAAAATAAAAGGAAGAAAAAAGTGTACTAAAATATGAAGAAATAACTACCTTTAAAGTTCAGTATAATCCCAAATGCCCTTCCACTTTTGTATCTTTTTTTTTTCGCAAAATTTGAGAATGAATAGTTTAAAAAAAAAAAAAAATTACTACTCACCCCAAATTTACAGAGCGCGATGGTTTCCAAAACGACAAGGTCAGAATGGTCCAGATAGGGAACCACCACAATGTGTCCAAAAAACTCAGCTTCTTTCCTTACCTCAACATTCACCTCTTTCTTCCCGTGCTGCCCCAAAATATCATATTCCAACAGCCATTCATCAGAAGCTAATTACATAGTAAGTTGGATTCAAACAAAAACTCTTTACCTAAAAGCAAACACTTACCAGAGCCACGAAAAAACGAGTAAAAAATTTTGACGACTGAACCAGCTCATGCTGCATCCACGATTTCCTCACAGCCATTCGCTCGGCAAAGTGGTTACCCCTACATTGCAATAAAGCCTGCACTAGTTATTTCAGTAAATTTTGACGTTAATGGAAATTGCTCAGGTAACAACTCTTTAAAGCCATGATATCTATTGTGGCTAAAATTAATGGAAATAAGCATCCAGCTGTAACATAGTGACTTTGGAAAATAAAGTCCTTCGCAGAAATAAACAAAAACATCCCAGCACATTATCAAATGTTCGACAAAACTAAAACTACAAATTTAACTAAATCAAAACGCAATTATCATATTACAGACTGGAGAAAATCAACGAACAACCCCACCATCATCCACCAACCTGAACCACAGGCACAAAACACCAAACAGTGGTTGAGTCACCTCAGCCAGTTCATTAAATGTTCAGTTTCAAGCCTGAGAGCTCCAACATATACAAGAACCCTAATTCGAACAAAAAAAACTAAGGGACAAGAACCCTAATTACCTGATTTCAGAGGC